CTGATCAAATAATTCACTGCTTTCTTAAAGAGCACGCATGAGGTTGTTAATTGCAAAACTTCTTCAGTGCAATCCTAGAGGTTATTTTAGCTGTTATTCCATCTATAGAGCCTAGGAAGGTCAAATTATTGTGTAGTCTACACTATCGGTAGCGAACTAGTTAGTGTCTTACAGTGTTTGGTGCTATTTCAATCACTGATACCGAATTCTCTATTTCATCGCTTTTTCAACGACGCTTCGTAACTTTACATATTTCGTTGGAAATGAAGAGCAGGACAAAGGGAACCTCATTCTTGATAGAATTATCGTTTTGTGGGCTTGGTATCTCCTCTACACCTATTCTGAGGAGCTACAGTGTTGTTGCCACACGCAGTGGCAATTTTGAGCCAATTTCAGGGATTCTTCTTTGTGCTCTCTTCCTGTGACGACCACTCGAAACACGTTGCTTGCCATTTTATGTAGGAGGATAAGAAAAGAAGCAATAAACTGGTGCATTTTTGATACTTTGCTTTCGATATGAGAATGACTACACGATTTATCCGGCCCACCAGAGCATCAGCTATTGGTCATAGAAATGCGACTGCTATGCAGTTTTCAACGATGCAAACAGGTAGAGATGTTCGCCAAACTAAAAAACTACGAGTCGAATGTAAACTACTATGTTCAATATTTGGAGGGTAACCTTTGGAGGAAAGTAATGGACTGGTCAACATTGATTCGCCTTTCGATTAGAACAAGTGGTAAAGGAATACTAAGCAAAAAATTTCAAAATTTACTAATTCCACTGCACAAATTAACTTCAGTACAACCAAGAAGCACAGTTTAAGAAAGCTATGACAGTCACATCGGGTCAATAACGTGCCAGAAAAGTCAAGGGTCACCATGTTAGGTGACATTACTTCCTTACTGCGGCTGCTCGCTATTAGAACTTGGTCCAACTTTCTCACTAGTAGTGCAACGCATTTCTAAAGAAACCTCATATAGCGTTGCATGAGGTATGCGTTAGCTTCGAGACAGACTCCGTAACGAAACTAGATTTGAGACCTTAAATAGGAATGAACCACAATAAGTAGGGGTATTACCACCACCCGCTTTTCGTCGAGCAACAATGCCCCAACAATGAAATTGATATCGCCTTGAATACTTTCGGACGAAATTTCTAAAACCTTCAATCATTATCGCGCAAAGAAGATTCGCTGTAACCTCAGAGAAAACCAAAAATGTTATACGCAACAGGTTCCAGAACTAATAAGACAAAAAACTGTTAGACTATCACGATCTGAACCATTTTATTTACTGCCTATTCTTTTTAACGACAGAGCATTTTGCGAAATATAACTATTATAATGCGGAGATATTTGCAAAACCCCGGACCGCAGGTGACAGCATTATAATAGTTATATTTCACAAAATACCCTGCCGTTAAAAAGAATGGGCAGTAAATAAAACGGTTAAGATTGCGATTATAACTATAGCCCAGCTTAACTGGGTTCAATGCCGATTTGGGCTCACCAGATCAATCCCGCTGAAGGGTGATTTTTGAAGGCAAGAGATCGATAGAAATATCTCAGCGACAGGCGAAACGAAGGACCCGCATGGTGTGGTGGTGAACGCGTTACTCCCCGGAAAGGACAATAGCGCGTTCGTTCCCCACCGCAAGCACCTGCGGTCCGGAGTTTTGCAAATATCTCAGCATTATAACTGTTAGACTATCGGTTGGTGATAAGGAGAGACAGTTTGCAGTAATCCGTCGTCAGTTCGATGTTGAAGTAACAGAAAAGCATCTCGAAGATGATTTCCTTCACAAGCAGTCATTTGAAAAGGAATTCAAAAGTCAATACCGAAAACTGAACACCGAATATGTAAACGTGATAAGAGCAGCTGGGTTAAAACCAACAGTTATTTCTCAATCTTAACTTTTTTATTTACTGCCTTTTTCTTCTTAATGGCAGGGTATGTTGTGAAATATAACTCGTATGAAGTGCTGAGATTTGCAAAACTCCGGACCACATGTGTATGCAGTGGGGAACGAACACGCGCTGTTGTCCTTACCGGGGAGCAGCGCACTTCACCACTACACCATCCGGGTCCCAGATGGTGTAGTGGTGAACTGCGCTGCTCCCCGGTAAGGACAACAGCGCGTGTTCGTTCCCCACTGCATACACCTGTGGTCCGGAGTTTTGCAAATATCTCAGCACTTCATACGAGTTATTTCTCAGTTTAGATTTGAACTGCCCACGTGCCCTTTCTTATACTTTTGAAATCTCGTTATTTAGTAACCACTTATGATCTTATATCTCGTGATATCTCGTGAACGCAAAATTACATAATTCCACCAACGGTAGAGGCCCTGATTGCATGAGTTTGGGTGCAGTTGATCTAATCTCTTGTAAAATTTGCGGGAACCAATGCGTTGGTGAAATGGGTAAAGCACCTTGCATCCGTATAGAAAGACACCTAGTTAGTAAACTTAAAGATAAACTCAATACTCTACTAGAGTCGCATGGAACATAGAAACATAACGGAGAAAACTTTGAAGTAAACAAACAGAACAGAACAGCTCAACACTGTTAGTTGTTTTCAGGATAATGACTACACAGTGCATTATCATATGGGTCGTACGTTTCTGAAATATTCTGAAATCGCTCAGGTAGAACAATTAGAGCTCCATATTCTTGTGAAAAAAATTAAGCAAATAAACAAAAGTGCTGACACAGCAAAACTAAACTATGCAGGTCTTTCTCATCATTTAATCAACAACATGATTGATTGGAATTATGAAGCTTTTAGCTTTTATGAAAACACTAGAAATGTAGTGGATAACCACAATTTTAACTTATTATTTTCTTCCTTCAATTATTTTTATGGCACGGTATTAAGCGAAATACAACCACAAAATTGCTGAGATATTTGCAAAACTCCGGACCGCAGGTGTATGCGGTGAGGAACGAACGCGCTATTGTCCTTTCCGGGGAGTAACGGGTTCACCACCACACCATGCGGGTCACTCGTTTCGCCTCTCTCTCAGCTAGTTCTATCGATCTTTGCCACAGCAATCACCCGTCAACGGCTTTGATCTGGAAGGCCCAAATCGGCAACGAACCCAGTTAATTAAGTTGCCGTCTACAACTACTGGCCCGTATTCACCTTCCTTGTTTTCATGCATAGTGGTCTTCCAGAAATGAGTTCCCAGCTCCATTTATTGCTGGCAGTTTAATATAAAAGTGTCTCCTTCGATAATGAGGCCTGGCGTGGCATGTAATGAATCCCGTTGGGATATTACAACGAATTTTAGCATGTTTATTACCTCAACACGATAAATGTGAAAGAAAAATTCTAAAAAATTCTGTAGGCAGTGGTTGCACGGATATTATTTCAGTCTCTACTTCTAACCGAAATGACGAGATTGAAATTAAACCAGGTACAGTACCAGCATTGAAAGTGAGAGAAGGCTTAAACTATACAATAACTGAACACTAAAGCATAATGAGACAACGTTCATAGTGCTGGTCGATATGCATTAGAACTACTGAATTATACAACGAATGACATCAGTGATAGTCAGTGATACATAAATTTAACAATCTAGCACCGTGAGCGACTACAACAGCTAACATAAACTAATTAAGCGTCGTTAATGTTATAATGGTACACCTTGTAAGAACTACCTTTCTAATTACGTAGGCATTTCAATAGAAAATACTAAAATTGAAATACTATGGTGATGTTTATTTGAAAACCATATTAGAAACTTTTTGCTTTTTTATGGCTCAAAACAGTGTCATTGTCATACAAAGGTGGTGACTAGTGGAAACTAATCAAACAAAAACCAATCGATCACTGCAGTAAAATCGGTCATGAGAGAGTCCTTCTAGTCTATACCTTAACTAGACCTGTACGATTTCATCACACTAATCATTCCTAAGATTTCCGCTTAATCTCGATACAAATAATCAATACTTTCCTGTACTTTTAATTTAACACAAGGTCGATAAAAAAAGCCGTTTTATTCAGCAAACGTTTTTGCGCTTTCGTCTTCTTTGGAGCCGCGTTGATCCTAGTCGATTGATCATGTCAATGGAATGAAACTTTTCATCGACCTCGTGTTAGCTCATTAATACAAGAGGAAAGTTGAATAACTATTATTGCACTAACAAAGATTACACTTAGACAATACTTCAAAAATTTCTCATTAATTGGGATATCATCTTCAAATAAGCGAATAGAAGCTTTATCGAAGGCGTGTAGAACACTGCAATATGGTTGCACAAATTGTTGCAGGTTCGATGGCCAGAGTTGGTGAACCAAAGGAAAATCTATTTCATATATCCATTACAAAAGAACTAGTGGCTTTTTGACAATACCTTATTGTTTTGATGAGTCATCGTAGTTCACGAAGTTGTTGCTTGGAAGACCCATTAACTGGGAGAGAGGCTCACTATTTAGTAAAAAAGATAAAGCTCTAGGCGTTGATCAATCAGTAAAGGACGCGCCATGCATTCGACTTCATTAAGCATCGTTGGTGGTGATTGAATATCGGTGGCCTACCGATGTGTCGAGTCACTGATGCTATCCTCCCAGACAAGTCTGGCATCGATTTGCCGAGCCCGGAGTGATGGAGGTCTTAGCGGGCCAGGGGCGAGAGGATAGACCCCAGGTGTGTGTTGCGGGGCGCCTCCGAACACTGCGCCACACCCGTTCACTGGTTATAGCTGATAGAATAACTTTTAGTAATTGCGTAAATGCATAATAGAATTTCTCCTTTAAAAACAACTGTATTGCTAGGTGCCTGCAGTCATCTCATAGAATTTTTGCCAACTTATGCAGTAAGTGTGAAACCAAGGACCATGCCCTCGCGAGTTACCCCTCATCGCAATGAGCAACACTGTCTTTTTAAGGCTATAGAGCTATTCACAATAACGGTTGCCAAAGCTCACTAATGAAAAACAAACAAAGAATGTTTTTAAAGCGGATAGCTCGTAGAATTAAATCTTTTCAGATCACGACTCTTGCTTAATCAAGAGGTGTTTCCTAAGGCAATCACAGCGTTTGCCGTTCCCGCTCTCGCCACGAGTGAACTTATTCTTCATCGGAGCTTTGCCTGCAGTCAATGTGCTGGTACCGTACACTTTGTTCATACGTTGAAGACGTTCATTGACAAACGGTACTGCTTGTGCTTGACGAAGACGAGTTTCGAATCGGTCGATGGTGACCGCTCGAGTAGGTGGAGCAGTACTTGCTTGTGACAGTCGCGCGCGCTCTTCCATGTAGATCAACTTAAGCTGATCTGAAAGGGTGTCTGAAACTAAAGGCTTTAAGACAAAAAGTGTAATCATTAGCTAAAACTAGACTTAGGGGTTTGAATCTCTCTAAAACTGACTAAGTCCTTCGAATGCAGTAATAACGAATACGTTATGGTACGAAAAAATTGTATGCATTTGCACAATTTGCGCCGTACTCAGTATTTTGTTTCTTTTTAAACTGTATCTACAAGGAATAAACTAGAAAAATAACAAGTCTGAGCCGGTTGAAACCATCTTCGAATGTGGTTAAATGAGGAGAGCCATACCGTATAGGAATTTCTCCCAGGAATAGAAGGTTTGAAATTTGAATCTGGTTGGATCAAGACCGTGCATCTTACAGAAATTGCTCACCAGTGAGCGCACGAGGACTCGCTCTTGTACCTAAATTCGTAGATATTTATCATATATTGATATGTTCTTACTTACACATTGAATATGCGGTTGATACAATCATGAAGTTCTCTTCTATAAGGTCAAAACTGTTGCCGTAGCGCACGGACTGAAGTGAGCTTTATTATTTAGCTCTTCTTACCAAGATTTCCACTCAAACATGGGTCAAATATCCATAGTGAGAGATATCTTCAGAACGTCGTGGACAAAGGCTATTTCGTGTCAATAGATAATAAACGGCGTCTTAGAGAAGCAATTTGTACAGCATACCCTTCCATATTGTATCTGCATCTTCTTCAAGTGAGTTAACTCTTGGAAGATAGACTTTTCGTGTATGTAACGACGAGACGCCTCTTTACCTAAAATATGCACTTTATTTGCGACACAGTTCGAAGCCTTACTAATGTTTGCTCACTGCGATTTCCCGAAGAAATTTTTTCTATGAGCTGACACGAGGTTTTAAGTCTTTGGACGTCAGATGACCAGTGTTTTGGAGCAATCGCCTTCTTCAAAGCACAGAAGTATTAAATCCCAAGATCGGCTCTGTTTTAACCTCGACATTGATCAACAATCTACTACTTTTCTTGATGAACCAAGTTTTTCTGTTAAATAGTCGCAACTTTGTTACCCGGTGAGTATTCTACGGGCATAATGGAAGACTAATTTGTAAAACAAAATAAAAACTCTGATAAGAAGCAGTCTTCTTATTTGAGTACTTCAGAGGAATCGAAGAAAGAAGAGACGTTTCTTCCTAACACGCAAACGTTTAGTTCAGTGTATACGATAATTTTTTGCTATAGCAATAGAATAATCACAAAATAATGAAGATACAGCTACTTAGCAATAGGTCTAGGCCCTTAAGAAGTCGAGATCGACGAAACGTGAACATCAAAATGTTGTTGCGAGCGCACATCAAAACACCTCGTATTATCTCAAAAAATAAAGAGCTTGTAAGAAAATATAAGTCGCGTAATACCTTGTTGAATTTTAAAGGTAACTCGAAGTGGATAACGATTTTTATTGGGTTAACGACTCCTTTCTTCTTCGTGAGCTGTACAAAAATTTCACAACCAAGATATCATCATTCTACAACGATATTATCATTGATGTCAAAAGAGGGGTAAGGCAAGGCGGTACCATCTCGCCAAAATTATTTACTGCCGCCCTCAAGAACATTCGTGCGAGGATTGGAATGGGATAATATAGGAGTGAAAATCGATGGTCGGCAGTTACACCATCTTTGCTTTGCTGATGACATCGTCCTCGTAACACCAAACATTAGCTAAGCGGGGCGTATGCTAGGCGCTTTTGATGAGGCTTGTGGAAATGTTGGTCTTCAACGAAATCTCACAAAAACTATGTTTATGAGGAACGAATTGGTTTCGCATGCCCTATTCACGCTCAACGGAACGAATATCTCCGAATGCTCCAGTTCTATCTATATAGAACGGGAAATTAGCTTGTTGAACGACTTAGCGCCAGAGCTGAGCAGAAGGGAACGAGCGGCATCTGGAGCTTTCAAAAGCATCAAGGATGTAGTGAAGAGAACGAAGAACACCCGACTCCGTGCCCACCTTTTCGACTCAACGGTACTTCCTGCTCTTACGTATGCGTCAGAAACCTGGTCGCTGCTTAAACAGGATAAAAGGTCAATCAGCGTTATCGAACACGCTGTCGAAAGGACGATGCTAGGAGTATTCCGTTCCACACAAGTAAAAGGTGGTATCCTAAGCTCCGACCTGCGTCAGCGATCAAAAATCAAAGATGCCATTCTGTAGGCTAAACAGTCGAAGATGGGCCTGACACGTAATGAGTATGAATGACAACCGCTAGACAAAAGGCGTTAGTGAGTAGATTCCTCGGAATGTCAAACGTACTACAGGAAGACTACCGACCCGATGGTCAGAGTTCTTCACAAAGAGCGTTGAAGAAAGATATGATGCTCGATGAGTCTCTAAGGCGAGGAAAACGCACTGGGCTACTCTTGCACGCGACAGGGAAAAATGGGAGATTTACTGGCTCCCGCTCGAGTCACTCGACGATCAACGGGACTACAGGTGATACAGGTGAAAGTCTTCTTTTTAAAGTCTTCGAAAAATAACTCCGTTAATGCCTATTTTAATCGAAAGTTGGTTTTTCGGATCGCCTTTTTATGAGCGCGTCCTTTTCTTGTTCAGCAATCGCGAGGTTTTTAAACAGCATACATTTACTTCCATAGAGAAACACAATACAATACAACACCAGCTGACGTTTCGGCAGTATCGCCTTCTTCACAGCTTGGAAGGGTTTACTGATATACAATCTACTAGGCCAAACGCTTCAATAACACTTACAAAAGAAAACCCAAAAAAAACGTGTATCCATATAAAAGAACACCTAGATGGCAAACGAAAACTAAGGCAAAGTACCCCATTAGGCACGCATAGGATACAAAAGCATAGCGGAGACGATTTTGAAGTAAAAGCCAATATCCTTGCATAGGAGTCCAAAACACCCCAGAGCGAAAACTTCTTGAGGTTTTTTGGATAAATGCCAAAACCCTACAATGAATAGTAGGGAGGAATGCCCAACGTCATACGCGACCTGATCCCGTATGTTCGCATCAATTTCCAAAAATTCTTCATTCGAATTTACGTAAAAAAGCGGTGAGTTTTTCGAGAAGCCGTTTATCATGTAATTACCATAAAGTTTTTCGTCTTTTTGTAAGTGTTATTGAAGCGTTTGGCCTAGTAGATTGTACATCAGCATACCCTTCCAGGCTCTGAAAAAGGCGATACTGCTGAAACGTCAGCTAGTGTTGTATTGTATTGTGTTTCTCTATGGAAGTAAATGTGTGCTGTTTAAAAACCTCGCGATTGCTGAACAAGAAAACGACGCTTTCAATTTCTGCTTTTTTCAAGGTTGTCTTTTGTTACCTGTTGGTCGATTCGCTCCCATTTCTTCCCAGTCGTCCTCGTATATTTCGAAATCATCATCACCGCGTACTTGTGTAGGTTCATTAGTCTGAATTATGTCGGAAGCAAATAAGTGATTTGTAAGCAAATAACGAAAATACGAGAATAATAAGTCTTTTGTGAACACAAAACCTTGCCTCGTCAGTTAATATTAAATGCAGGTACTAATTGCTTTTAAGGAATTTTTATTTCCAACACCTTCGTATTGCTACCGAGCAATATACAAAAGAAGCGTGGGCGAGATTTGCCAGCATGTAGCGCAGTAGTTATGCGTGTCCTGCTCATTAATCCTATCCCGCCTCTGGGGCTCACCACCAAGTCCTCCATCCTTTCGAGGTTACAAATTCTTACTGTACGTGTCTGAGAAAATAGCAGCACCCAATTGATACATCGGTAGGTTACCGCAATTCATTGTACAGGCCAAATGTTCATTCGATCACTCCTAACGGAACTTGATGATGAAGTTGGATGCACAGATCACCATTCATGGATTGGTCAACGCAGAGATGTTTCTATTTTCATCCTAACGCTTTTCTTTACTAGTCACATCCAAAAACACACTTTAATGTTTAGAAATATTAAGCTTAAATCTAAAGCGAGCTTATTATAAATCTTCATCCGAACCAAGAAACACTTCATAACAGTGGTGTTCTCTCGGGTGTTCATAGGAAAATGACAGGAGTTTTGAAGAAAATCCGCAATTCAACGTTTGAAAGGCACCGGCTCTCACGTTGGAGCAGTCTGGACGACATTGCAGCAGTTCTCGCTTTCATTTATAAGCTCGTAACAATGTTCAGGTATGACGGAATACATGAATCGAAATTTTAACGAGATAGTTGACTCCAAGCGGTTTATATTTCTATCTGGAATTTTACAGCGCAATAGCCCGATCTCTAATAAAAAGTGTAAAATGAAGAAGCGCCGAAAAAAACTCTTTTACCTCTCCCTTCTCTGCTGCCTGCATTTTTTTTGATTTGACTCCCGACACTGACTTTTTTGCTTCCGACTTCTGAAGAAGCGTAAGTCTCAAGATATATCAAGTATAAAGAATTTCCTATCATTTTCTTAAACGTTTAGTAATGGATGAAAGATATACAGTCGATAAGAAATGTTTCGGCCTTTCCTAGAGGGTTTGGAGATAACCTAGACACATCTAATACTTTTCGGATTTTCAAGAAACTCACAGTTATGTCGTCGATGTCGTCATCTTTTTTTTGAATGCTATAGTGTAAACCGTGGTTTTCCTTCTGTTTCTCATCCTCACTAAATTCTTCGCTACTGTCGCTAACAGCAGGTAAGTCCTAAAAAAAACTCAAATTGAACGAGAGCTACCCTATTTTGTCCTACATCATCGATCAAATAGAAAAAACAACATGTTTGAATAAAAAATTGTATGTAGTCAATAAATCAAACAGATAAAGGTTAAAATGTTTGGTACTGAAAAACCATCATTGTGGATGGTGAATGAATAAATACTCTACCTAAACGGTGATTTCCGCAGGTCCACTGATGTATCGGACCTGCGTTTCTATGGTTTCCGACAACTTTGCTGCCACTTTGCCGATTCCGTAAGCACAGAGGAGTTGGTTTTCCCGCCTTATGCCGGCGGTTATTTCTCTC